CAAGGGGCGACATAGAAATGTTTTAATAAATAAATAAATAAATAAATATTCTTCCTGGCCTGCTTAGAGAAGGCCAGACAATGGCCGCATTTGTCCATCCTGTGACCTTCCCCTAAACAGAGGAGGCACAGGTCATGCGGGTCCGCAGCAGGCATCTTAGAGCCATACTCTCCGCACTTGCAGAATGCCGCTCGTTGCGCCATCGTGGAAAAAATAGAAAAAGAGAGGATAGTGAAACGGGAACAGATAATCTTTTTGTTTTGTTTTTTATAGGAACAAGAAGAAAAAGAGAAAAAATGAAGAGAGAAACTGGAACAGTGAAGAACAATATGAACGAGGGACACTAACTTGGAAAAAGAGAAACAGGAACTCGAAGCAAGAGAACACGAGGAACGATCGAAGCGAGAGTGGAGCGGCACAACGAACGGCGGTTGCAAAGACTGGAAAATGGTGGACACTCTGCTCCATATATACTGCTAGGGGGAAGGGGAGCGGAGTTTTCCCACCAAACTGTTAGCTATCAATCTTCCGGCCAAAGGCACTGCGCAGGCACAGAACCCATATGTGTGATGCACAGAGGCCACGATGAAGAACCCAGTCTAATCCTATGCCACCCTGGCTCTCCTTCTGACTTCCACCAAAATCCTACTGTGCAACTGTACCTATGCTCTACTTGTGCTAGGAACCAGTCTGTTTTCTTCACTCATCCTCAGATGTCCTGCTATGGAAACTCCTATCACAAGAGGCTAGACCTCTGGAGACCTGGGACAGGCCCTCTTCAGAGAGGATCTACCTCTGGAATGCCCTTTGCAGCACCTGATACCATCCCTCCTGGGTGTTAAGTCGCCAAATTTTTGTCCTGTGGGTGCATTTACACTGCTGTGCATACTACATTTGCTGTGCTTCTTTTATTTCTGTTTAACCCTGTGGTTTCATGGAATGTTTTACTACGATTTATACAAATTTATTGCTGCTATCATGTGTACTGCTGCAGGCTACCTTAATATTTTTCTTTTAACTTGGACCCAGGTTATAAATGCTTAAAATAAACAGATAAAAATGTCTCATATGCATATCATAACTTGTTCCTACAGTCACCTTGACTATTTGTTACAATGTGCAATTTTGAGGGATTACAAATCCTAGAGTTCTGGTTGTGAAAGCACATTTTCTAAATTATACAGGAGATATCCTGACATTGCTACATTGTTTAGCATCTGGAAGTAAGTCTAAGCTTTGATTTTCTTGAAGTATGCCAAGAATGTTGTATATTTTTTCAGCATGTCACAATTTATCTCCACGGATAGAAACAATCACACAAACAACTGAAATGAAGTATTTGTTTGAAGAGTGTTTGCTTCTCTCTGGAATAATTTGCCTTTGGCATCTGTACATTTCATTTGGCAGGAAAAAAATGCTTTTCCTTTCAGCGTAAGGTCAGAAAGATACAAAAACAGAGTAATAGAGAGATGGTTGATGTTGCTTTTGCAAACATACTGCAAAACTTATTGAGTTCCAAAAACCACCTGGGTAAGGCAATCTACCTTTACTATTGCTGAATCCATTCCTGAACACAACATGGATAAAAGTGGTGCATCCTAGCCTCCAGGTATAAGAACTGTAGCTGCTGCTCCCTCCTTAGAACCATTTCATATGGACCAAGAGCAGTACTTAACTGTGTCATTCTATTAGAGCGAATGACATTCTGCTGAAGGAAACTAAGTTCTGGCCTATGCACAAGAAGAGAATCATATGCTGGTACAAATGTGGTTGTACAAAAGGTTGTGCAGCTAGCCACACACTCAGTGTTGCAACCATCTTCGCAATGGGATGTGAAATTGCTCATAAAGAGAAGGATTCAGTTGAGCTCTGCTATTTGAGTTTGCAGAAGGATATTGAAGGATACTTGTCCCAAGCTTCACCATGAAGTACTGCTGCTCCTGATTCCCCCTGCACTTAGAAAAAAAAGTTTGATTCTCTAATCAGCACCATGTGCTTTCATTTACCACAATGCCTGTTACAACAGTAGTACTCAAGGACAGGGTTGGGCAGGCTTCAGGCATGAAAAATTTCCTTTCTTTTTTTTTTTTTACCAGAAACCTGATTTTGGGAGCTAGAGCCAGGTGCAAAATAATGCAAGCAAGCAGTCATGGTAAGAGTTCAGGAAGAGGGTGCCTCTAAGAACATGCTCACCCCAGGAATTCGTTATCAACCCCTGAGCCAAGTTCATAATTTCCCCGTGCATTCTTTCACCCGAAGCAGCACAATTTAAGCCAGAGAAAACTTTTCAGAATCAGAATCCTATGCTGATCTACCGCAAATCCCCCAGAGGACTATCAGTAGTTTCAAATCTACCTTCTGCCCATCCTTGTTCTTGGACATTATGGGATATTAATGCCGAGATTCCTGATACTGATCTCTTTGGAAAGATCTGTGGAACATGCACAATGAATGAGAAAACGTGTGTTTTTTCCCCCCTTTAAAAAAAAACTGATCACGGTAGAATTATTCCTTCAGTAATATCCTGATATCAAATGACTCTGCAATAAGGAATACGATACTCAAATACAAGGTTGTATACTAAAGTAAATAATTAAACTGGGCAACAGCAAAAGTTAGACAAAATGAGAGGTTTTTTCTGGGGGCAGGGGTGTTTGCCGGCTGCAATCTGCTCTGTGGTTTATTGGATGTAGAAACAGCACTAACATACATGCCTGCTGTGCTTAGAAAAAAAATACAGTTGCAATCTAAGAGCAGGGGAAACAACCCATAGGGAGACCTTTTTATTCCCTAATTGACATCTGGATCCTTTCCCAATATGATTTTTCCTTTGCTGCTGACAGGACTTTCTTACAGCTGTTCTGTTTTGCCATCTTCAATGATGCAAGTGACAAAGACTTTGGACCACTGTCAGGAAATAAACTTGCTTGGAGCACAAACAATAATCAAAACTAACTACAACAATCCATTGACGAGAGTGAGATAATGGATGGAGAGTTAACAGAAATCAAAATAGCAGAACGTAACAGCAGGGCAGTTACTAGAAATACAGAAGCAAACAGAAAATAAGTGCAAAAACAGTCAGGGCTTTGTGCACATTTGATTAAGATTCAGCCAACAAATGGGCCCTATTCAGGCCTTCTGAAGAGCGTGTTGTTTAGGAGTGCACTAGCCCTTCCCCCTCCATAGTCACTCTCGTCACACTGTACGCATGGAGGACGACATGGTGAAGAAGACGGTGTCTTCTGTCTGTGCAAGTTTTCCACGTGATCCAGAAAGCTGGATAATCACACCCAGAAGAAACCACTGACAAGAACCCTCTGAGGTCTCTCCTCCTCTTCACCACTACAACCTTTTTATTGACCTGCCTCTCCCTCTGGCTCAGAGAGTGGTGCTGGTGAGAAGGAAGGAGCATCACTAGACACTGCAGGGCTTCATTGGCTTTTTGCTTGCTTGTCAAGTGAGCAAGTGGTAGCTATTACAAGAAAAAGCATGAGCAGCATTGCAGCTGGCAGCAAGGAAGGCGATTCGCAGATGGAGGGGCCCACTGAGGTGTGTTTTCCAAGGGCCCTCCAAAACCTAGACAGTTGCAAATGGACTGAATGCAGAATAGACTATTTTCCGGAGTAAACACCTGGTTTTAAAGACACTAATGCCCCAAGAAGTTAAAAAAAATCTTAGCAGTGGATCTGTCTTCCTGTCTGTATCAAATCAGCTGTCAATATTCTATCTCATTCAAGTATGATGAAGACACAAAAGCAAATAGAAAATCTAGCAGGCTTGATTTTCAGTGTCTGGAGGCAACAGAGGTAGGTAGCAGGCTTAGCCTCTATCCTAAATGTGCTCCTGAGTACAGCCCTATTAAGGTTATATTTCTTAGAGCAGATATGCAGCAAGCCTAGGCAACTCTGGCCCTGGGCACAAAGTCAGATGCATTTGTATTTCACTGATATCCCACCTTTTTCACTCTTGCAAGGAATCCACACAACAAACCTCAGAGGAAGGTTAGGCTAGGAGTCCATGACTGTCCCGAAGTAGCCTGGTAAGTTTCCTGACTGAGTGAAGAGCTCAGATCACCTGAGTCCAAGCCCAGCACTCCAGCCATTGCACCACTACCAGTGGCTCCATTCTTTATTTGGTGCATCTTCTAAAAAGGGGCGTTTGTTATGCTTGAGCAGCAGAATACCCAGACAGGATTCGTGACTGTATAGAATGCCTACGCCCCCTCAGCTGGTAAAGTGCCCCCTTGCAAATGTTGCACTAAATGCATGAACAAGGAGGGTGGGGGTCAGAGCCAGCTATACTCTCTAAGACAAAGGATGGGGGGGGGGAATGACACACACAGTCCTACTCTTATTCTTCCTTCCGTCCTTCCTTCCTTCCTTCCTTCCTTCCTTCCTTCCTTCCTTCCTTCCTTCCTTCTTACTTACTTATATGCCGCCCCATAACCTGAAGATTCTCTAGGTGGCTTACGAACAGAATAAAACATAGATAAAATACAGTAAAAAATTGATAACCTGATAAAATAGACAAAACAATAAAATAGTAAATAACATCACATAATAAAATGTCCCAACACACACCAATAAGCACAGCCAATAAATTAACCAAAATTAAATTAAAATAAATAATCCATAAATAACCTAATTTTATACTGGTATGTGTGGTTCTGCTTATGGGAGGCTATGCTTGAATACTGCATGCACTGAGTGCAAACTGTCTCCTATACAAATGGACGGTTGCTATTTACCGCTGTGTGGAAGACTGCAGCACTTCTCTTGGGGACAAAGTTGTAGTGAGGACAAACCTAACTCAACAGTGACCTTTACAGGCACTGCAGGGAGGTGCCGCCTCTGTGGCAATGCACTGAGAGACCCACATATTTCCTGCAGTCTTCAAAACATACTAGTTCTCTCCCTTGCCCTCCACACACTGCCTATTGCAATGACAGGCCATTTTGTGAGAATTAAATAAATAAATCTTTGCGGGGAGGTTCTTACCAACAAGCTTTTGGCCACGATATTTTCAAGGAGTTTGAAGTCATTTCGTAATGGCTTGCTCTTGGAACTTGTACCTTCCATTTCCTCATCGGCATGAAAGCGGAAATACTGAGACTCATCTTTGAATTCGCTCTTCTCTAGCACTGGGAAGCAGAAAGTGGGAAGCACACAGATGTGTCAGTACTTGCGTGAATCCAGTAGGGATATGAAAACAAACACTGTCAAAATTGTAAAATAATGAACTGTGAACAAATCACCAACATCAGTTGTAGGCAATTAAATATTGTTTTTAAAGCTGTCACACACCTCAGCCAGATCCCTCAAAATGCACAGAGCTGAATGCCGGGGTTCTTGGTATGTCTATTTTCTCTTTCAACCCGTATGGAATCATTTTGGGTTGAAAGGTGATATGTTGCACCTCATTACAATGCACTGCAGAGCTTTCTTATGAGCTTTATTTTCTACTTTTTGTTTCATTGATGGGAAATTCCTGTAGAGGGTAGACTTTTTTTAATCTATCAAATCAAATTAAGCATTTTTCTTTCTGGAAAATATATTGTTGGCACTATGCCTAGCAGAGAAAAGCTGGAGATGAAAGGAATGTAACAAACAGCATGCATAATGGAAGCCATTTGTCCAAGTCTTTCTGTCTATCCTCATCCCCAAGGTTCTCCACTTGATTGCCTTTCGTCTTCCTTTGCTCAATTTCTTCCTTGGCAGAGGGTGGCACAAGAGCATTTTATTATTATTATTATTATTATTATTATTATTATTATTATTATTATTATAACATTTCTATGCCGCCCCTTGCCGAAACCTCGGGGCGGCTTACAACATGATAAAATACATTGAAATACAATAGTACATAATAAATTACCATTAAATATAAAAATACAAAAAAATACATTGATTTACAAGTACAACATTAAAATTATCAGTATAAAATAAAAATATAGGAGGAGAAAGAGAAGGAAGAAGAAGTTGCCCAGGCCAGATCATATGTTTTAACAATTGAAATGATGTTTAAATAAAAAGGTCTTTACCTGGCGCCGAAAAACCAGTAACGACGGTGCCAGGCGGACCTCTTTGGGGAGTGAATTCCATAGGTTGGGCGCCACCGCAGAGAAAGCCCTCCTCCGGGTACTTACTCTCCTAATTTCTTTCATGGAGGGTTCCTGAAGAAGGGACTCTCCCGCAGATCTCAAAGGGCGGTCGGGCATATACGGACGTAAGCGCTCGTTCAGGTAGCCAGGACCCAAGCCGTTTAGGGCTTTGTAGGTCATAATCAACACCTTGAATTGGGCCCGGGCTTCAATGGGAAGCCAGTGAAGCTGATGGAGGACTGGAGTCATGTGAGCATAACGCCCCGTCCCCGTCAACAACCTGGCAGCTCTATTTTGCACCAATTGAAGTGTTCGGACTGTCTTCAGGGGAAGCCCCACGTAAAGCGCGTTACAGAAGTCTAGGCGGGAAGTCACCAGCGCGTGTGTCACCGTCGCCAGGCAGTCGTACTCCAGGTAGGGGCGCAGCTGATTAATCAGCCGAAGCTGAAGGAAGGCGTTCCTCGCTACCGCTGTCACCTGAGCTTCCAAAGAAAGCTCCGGGTCGAGGAGTACTCCTAAGCTGCGGACCTTATCCCTAAGAGGGAGTGTTGCACCATTCAGGACCAGGTCAAATCCACCCTCTCCGAAACCCGATCCGCCAACCAACAGGACCTCCGTCTTGTCTGGGTTGAGTTTCAGTTTATTGGCCCTCATCCATTCCCTTACCTCGGCCAAGCACCGGTTCAGCACAGCCACTGCCTCACCTGGATTAGTGGAGAATGAGAGGTAAAGCTGGGTATCATCAGCGTATTGATGATTCCGCAGCCCACACCTCCTGATGACCTCTCCCAGCAGTTTCATATAGATGTTAAATAGCAGAGGGGATAGAATGGAGCCCTGTGGTACCCCATGGCATAGCTGCCATGACGTAGAGACATGGTCCCCCAGCACTACCTTCTGGAATCGACCGTCGAGATAGGAGCGGAACCACTGCAAAGCAGTGCCTCCAACCCCCAATCCCGCAAGTCTATCCAGAAGGATACCATGGTCGATGGTATCGAAAGCCACCGAGAGGTCCAGAAGAACCAACAGGGATGTACTCCCCCTGTCCTTCTCCCTGCACAGGTCGTCGTACAGGGCGACCAAGGCAGATTCAGTACTGTACCCGGGTCTGAAGCCGGACTGAAAAGGATCCAGATAATCAGTTTCATCCAAGAGTGCTTGGAGTTGTCCCGCCACCACTCGCTCCAACACCTTGCCCAGAAACGGGATGTTGGCCACAGGTCTATAGTTAGTGGCCATCTCTGGATCCAGTGGCGCTTTCTTCAGGACCGGTCGTATTACCGCCTCCTTTAAAGGGGCAGGCACTCGACCCTCCCTCAGAGAGGCGTTAACCACTTCCAAGATCCAGGTCCCAATCCCGTGCTTAGAGTTATTTATTAACCAAGACGGGCAAGGATCCAATAGGCAAGTGGTGGGGCGTACTCTTCCAAGCATGCGACATGCTCACAGGAGGAAGACAGTCATTTGTATATGCCACTTGTTATCTCCAGCTTTTCCATTTCAGTGAAAAGCTGCTGGAATCAAACTGGGGGTGAATCACTGAGCTGCTTACTGTAGCATCTGTCTACCAAAGCTGGTCACAGCATCTTTGCAGACTGGAAAGAGATTCCCTGTTCCCATTAAGCCTGCATGGCCAACCAATTACTCTGCACTTTAGTGTGTTCTTCTACCTGGCCAGTAGCTTGATCCTCAGTCTAGTCTGCTGGCTTGTGCTCTTCATTCCCGACTACTTTCTTTGCCCCACAACAAAAAGTTTCTGCTTTCCAAAGCATCTCTGATTGCTGCAGATGGCCCAAAACTGCCTATGATCCAAACTATGTTTCTTCATTTGGTGGGTTCTCATAATAACTGTAGTGCTAAAACTTGTATTGCACTGATATTATGTTTAGTCCTGCTCAGACTTTAAGCCCAAACAGGCTTAAGGGGCAAAGGAAGGCTGTGCAGCCACCCCCAATGTTTCCCTGCACACTGGTCCCTCAATGTCCACAACTTTGCTGGGTTGTATAGCAATGTCTGAAAGGTGGTGCTACCGATGTTCACTTGCATGCAAACAAAACTCTGATCCACATGAATGGGGACCCAGATAAAAAAGGGTTCCAATTATGAAGAGAGTACTACAAATGCGTAAGCTACATCAGTAGAACTTCCTTTCAGACTTCACCACACAAACCAGCATAACTGGGGAATTAAGGGGACAGGACCAGAGCCGGTAAGCATGGCACCTTGCCCCTTATAGGATTTATATGTCCATGTTCAGGCTTCACCCCTGAATAGCACTTATGTCTTTGTACTTCTCTACTTACTACATTTCTATTCTGTCCAATAGCCAAGGCTCTCTGGAAAATTCGTAACAATTAAAAGCATAAAATGCAAAATGATAAAAGGCCATATAAAAATCTAGAAGTTTAAAACTATAGTCTAAAAAGAAAAATAATAGCCACAGGAAACTTAGCTGCAGTGCAAGGGCTTAAAATACAAAACCAGATTTAAAACATTAATTAGAAAACTAAAACGCTTGGGAAAATAAAAACGGTTTAGAGTTGACACTAGCAAGACCACTCTTTAGGTGCCAGGTGAGCTTCTCTAGGAAGGCCATTGTACAGAGTGCTGCAACAAAAAAGTCCTCTTCTTGTTAGCCACATACTTTACCTCCTTTGGTGGAGGATCATGGAGAACCACCCCTGTATATTCTTCTCAGATTTAGAAACTATTACTTTCTTCTATGTCCCCATTCCGCTGTGTTTCTTTTGAACACGTACCCCTGTTCCAACCAAAAGGCACTCAAGGCAGCTTGCTATGGTAATTGATGAGTATACTAATACTGGGGAAAGATATCACTCTTTGGAAGCTGCTCTGCAGCATCCAAGGGTCAACTGGCACAACCTACATCCTATGTTAATTTCATAGCTTTGTTGCAAACCTGTCCAACTCAGTTTCAAGAGAGATCTCATCGGGAAGAGAAATGGACAGGGAATCTGCACGGCACACTGCTCTCACAGAAGATCTGGAGAAATCTCCTCAAGGCAACCTGAGGAGCTCAGTCATGGGGAAGCCTCACTGGGAAGGCCCAGGAATCCCTTCATTCCTATCCAGCACTCTGCCTTGATCCTCCCTTGCCCCTGAATCTCCAGAGCACCAGCAGATCTGGTGGGAAACCTATAATCAACACAGGAGTGCCCACTGGACTGCTGGAGAGTCTTTCATCAGGGGTCTACTATGGAGGAGAGAGCAACTCAGAAGAAACTATGTTCTTCAGCAGCAGGAGAAAACCCACCTGCAAGTAAAGAACTAGCAGAGGATCAGAAGAGGCAGAGCTGGCAGTGTGCATATAAAGCCACCAGTCTCCTCTGGGTCTTTGTTGGATTAACAGTTCCCTTGAAGTTCAATTGCTCCACCACTGACTTGCACATCAGGTGTGGGTCTTGCACAAGTGTGCAGTTAATCTGGGTTCATGTGGTGTGTGTTTACTTATAAGTAAGCATGGGGAACCAGTTCAGATCAGGGCTGCTGCATACAGAGATTGAACATAGTGTACGGCACAATACCACTCAAAGCAACAATTTCTTCTGGGAGAAGCATCTGTTCAATTGAAAATTCCCCTCCACCACAGGCTTGATCCTCCTGCTTGTGGGCTAGGAAGTAGGACCTCTGAGCGCTCTGTAACTGTTCACTTCAGCTGTCGGCTCCCAACTGGTGAAAGGAATTCCATTCTACTGCCTTCTCCTGCAGCTCTGATGTGTCTCCTCCGTTTCCCAAGGCAGGCTAGTTCTCACACTTTGCCTGAGAAGCTTCTAGGTGTATCCTTGAAACTTTCAGGTGCTCTACCCCATCCCAGCTCCTCCACCTCTACCTCAGAATCAGACAAATCCATCTCAGCAGACTGTAGAGAGCAGGCCCTCTCTCTACATCTATGGCCTTTTTTGGTATCATGATTTGGTGCAGAAAGGACTCACTTTTTCAGGAGACTGATGGTGGAAGAAAAAATTAAACCTTCCCCGTGTATGCTGTGGTCCCAGTCTGAACACTGGGATCCTAGA